TTTCTTTGAGAGGTATTCTTTGTATTAATTCTTTTAAATTATTCCAAATTTTTTCTTTTGAATATATATCTAAATCTACTGGAGTATGAGCACTTATAACATTAAGAATCTTAGTATTAACAATGATATTTAGGGCTATAATTATATCTTCAATTCTATTAATTTTTATATTATTATATTTCAAATTCTTATCTATAATTACAGCTACACCATTTCTAGTATGATTCCTACTCGAATACCAAAATTTAAAACCTAAGGTATCAATCCCCCTAGCCTTTTCTCCAATCCATTTAGTTTATCGAATGCATAAGATTTTATCTTCCGATGATTCATAATATCCACTAATTCTATTAATGTGCATGTGAGAGCGCCCATATTTTAGGTTCATACTTTAATATTAATTTAATGGACTTTTTTTTGCTGCATCAGTCTATATTGTAAGAACCCTTTCTTATTTAACATTGCACAAATCATACAACACGTAGCTTCTAGGGGACTTCCTAACATTTACAGAATGATTTAAAGGATTCATGTCATGATTTTTCGACAAAATTTTATGCTAACCGTCAACTACATAACATAACCCTCAACTTTTTCGCATCTGGAGCCTGGGACCCGATAACGACAGTGTAAAATCATACGCTTTTTCTAAACTAACAAAAATCATATAGAGATCTTCCTTATGCTCTTTGTACTTTTTCATCAAACCTCAATAAATGTATAACATCGATAGTAGACTTGCCTAACATAGGTCCAAATGATTTTGAAAAATCGTTGTATCACGTCTTAACCTATGTTTAATTATTCTCACCAATAATTTTAGTGTACGACACATTAGCCTAATTCCTCTATAATTTGCACACTTTGTGCAATTTCTCTTAAAAATAAGGACCAAATTATTCTTCCTTCACTCAAATTTTTTTTTCACTTTTTAACATAATATTAAAAAGTTTAATAAGCCAAGAAGTTCTTAAATCTCCAAAATACCACTTTTATTAGGATATCATCAGGTCCTACTTATTTTCCATTATTTATTCTCTTTAAAGTTTTCTCAACTTCTGTTTTAATAATGCGACCGTAAAAATAAATTTTATTATTATTATTAACCATATTGAGATGACTAAAATTGATTATCTTTTCAAAATATTCATTAAAAAGTTTATCACAATAATTCACCTATTTATATTAAATATCATCTTCTAAAAAAATCACTTTTTGTTTTTCATCCTTAATACAACTGAACTAAATTTTTATGTTTCTTATTTTTTGGTTTGACCAGTTTATATATTTCTTTTACTCGCTTTAGTATCCAATCTTTTATAAAAATTAATAAAACCATAATTCTTCGCATCACAAATTATTCTCTTAAACTCTCTATTGTCTACCTTATATTTTTCCTAATTTTTTTTACATTTAAATTAATTTTTTATAACAAGACTTCTTATATTTTATCTTTTCTTGTATAGTATTATTTCATCATCAACTATTTTTATTTACGTAAGCTTTTCCTTTTGATTCTCCAAGTACATATTTTGCAACTTGCTTAATAGTGTTTGATAGTCTATCCCACATTGCATTAGTTTCTTCATCAATATTCTAATTTTTAAGATCTTAAAGTTTACTCATTAAAATAATTTTATGTCTTTTAAGTGCGTCTATCTAATTCTATGACAAAATTTTGTTTTATTTTTCACTTCCAACTCTTCATTTTAAAATCTAAAACCATTAATCAATGTTGGATACTTAAATTTTCACTTATAATGACCTTACAATCTTTATAATCTTGATGTTCTTTTTTATCTTTAGAAAATAATCAATTTGTGTTTTATTATATTCATTTTTATACGTGATAATATACTCTTCACTTTTCTTAAATAAATTATTAAAAATAATTAAATCATAAGCTAAAACAAAATTCAATATGACTCTACCTTCTTCATTAACACTCTAAAACTTCGGTCATTATGAATATTTTAAAAATCTTTTATCACTTTATTAACATGTCCATTTTAAATTCATCTAATAAAAATTCTTTATTGGAGAGATATTTTTTTATTAATTATTCTAGATCATTTCAAAATTTTCTTTTGAACATATATTTAAACATACTTGAAGAACATAAACACTTATAACATTAATAATCTTAGTATCAACAATAATCTTTAAGACAATATTTATATTTCAAATTCTATTAATTTTTACAAAATTATCTTTCAAAGTCTTAACTATAATTACACCTACACCTTTTCTAGTATGAATCATTTATGAATATCAAAGTTTAAAATATAAAATATCAATCTTTTTAGATTTTTCTCTGATTCATTTAATTTATAGAACGCATAAGATGTTTATCTTCATATGAATCATAGTATCTGCTAATTCCATTAATTTACTTGTGAGAGTACCTATATTCTATGATCCTATCCTAATATTAGTTTCATGGACTAACTTTTTTGCCCGTATTCGTCTATAATGTGGAAACTTTGGTTTATTTAACACTAAACCTAGACGCCAGTGCAATAGCCTTTTTAGACTTTTCACTGCATTTGTGTTATACGCCCCGTTGCTTTCAGGGGACGCCCTATCATTTACACATTAATTTAAATGATTCATGTCATGATTTTTTGACAAAATTTTATGTTGATTATCGTCTATTTAACACAATCCTCCTTTTTTCACATTCGGGGCTTGGGACCCGACAATATCGTTGTTTAATGGTTAGTGGATTTTGTGCACACTGCACAGTTATGTCAAAACTTGGTTTAGAATTCATAGATATAATTAAAGAGATTGTTTACTTCATTTTTTTACTATTCTATTTATTTTTTTTCGGGCAGTATTTATCATGGTAGTTATTATTGAACTATATTCATAGGAAAATTTTATTTTAGAAGATCTATTAAACTGTTGATGTTTCTTGGCGCACCATGCATAAAAGCATGTTTTTTTATCTAATTATGGTGAGATTATTGTAAGTTTTTAATCAATAAAATTGAAAGAAATATTTTAAAAATTTTAAAAATTTGTATTATATAATGATGAAAATAATATTTTATAGCATTGACAAAGGAATGATTATATAATTCACTAAACAAGCAAAATAATTAGCATTTAGCTCAAAGAATAAATATTGCTAGCAAATAGCATGAATGTATATTTTTAGCATGCTTGTATTTATTTATTTTTTTTAGAAAGATAAGATTGAAGGGATATTTATTTATAATGATTAATTCCCCTTATATTTCTATGGTTGATCATAATGAATGCTGAATATCACGCATGCTATACATTTGTTAAAAAAAGAATGAAAATATTTGGCAAAATTGTTAGATAGAGTTCATCATCAAACTTGAAATTATAATAAGAAAAAAATTATGTTTATTTATTTTATATTAAATTTTGTATTGCTTGAATATAATTCTCCAGTAAACAAGCAATTATAAATTTTATTATAAAAAAAGTAATTAAAAATATTTGTAAGAATTTTTTAAAAAATTATGTAAAATATATGTGAAAATCATATAATTTGTACATTATGAATTGGAAAAAAAATCATATATTGAATTGTCTCAAATCAACAATCATTTAATTATATATTTTATAAAGCTTGGAATTTTGGTTAGGTTGTGGATCATCGCTTGATTTATAAAGCTTGGAATTTTTTTCAAAACATAATAGCTGTTAAAAGTTCAACTAATTCATGGACTTTAGAAGATTAATGTTTCATGAAATACAGAATATTTTGTAGGTTTAACTTACATTCAAATTGAAAGGATGACATGCAATTTTACATGCTCAATATGGAATATATGAGTATCCCTGTGTTTAAATAATAAAGCTTGGAAGTTAAAAAAATTGAATATTTTGACTTTTTATTTACTTTATAAGGGCTTGCTGCTTTATGCAAATGGACGCCAGGTCACTTTTAGTTTAAATTCTAACTTATAATCACATTTTTGAGTTTTATCAATCGAACGCAAAATAAATCCCAACAATTAGTGCTAAGCATTTGGTCGGTTCGGATGGATTGGCTTTAAGATTGATCAAAACCGATTACAACCGAAATTCATAATTCAAAAAATCAAATCAATCTAAATTTTGATAAAACCATACTGACCAAACCGAAATTTGATTCAGTTTAAATGGTTTGGTTATGAAAAAACTGAAATTTAATTGTTTATTAAATTTTGATTAAGAATAAAAATTATAAATTATATTGTTTATCCACATAATATTGATTTGATTTCATGAATCCTTTATCTATTTCAATCAAACATTAAATATAGTAAAAATTTTGATTTTTTTTGTTTATTCGACAAGAAGTTAAAATATAATATTTTTTTTTAATAAAATATTGAATTTTCAATTTGTTTTATTAAATGAAAATTAAAACCGAACCAAAAACTAAAAACCAATTATAGAAATTTTAAAAACCAAAAACCATGATTTTAAAATTGAACCGAACCAAATAATGCACACCCCTTCCGATAATTTTGTTTGATCAAAATGCTTTCCATTCTCATGAGTAATGGTAAAAAGCAATAGTTAACATATTCTTCAAAGTGAAAAACAAAACTAGATAAAATGCAAAATTAATGAAGTGATTAATTTCAATATCCTTATGATTAGATCTGTTACTTTTGCATATATTTTGGTTAAATTAGGAAAATTTGATCATATTTTTGTTGCATTATTTTTCTGTTTGTGGTTAAATAAGAACTACTGGTTTTTAGTTTACATTACTGAGTGTTACTTGAATTTTGGCTTTGCACCAATCAACTCTACTCATGGCATTTTATTTTCATCTGTCAAAACATTGGCCGATACTTTATAATTCTACATGATTCCCTCGGATGAAAATGGCTTATCCTTCATGATCCTTGCTCGTCTTGGTTTGATATCCTTTACTTAAAACTCCTTTGAAACTACTTTCTAAGTTATTAAATATAATGAAATCAATATGGCGATTGTTGAACTTCAAAATATTTCCTCTAGGATAGGTTGTTCAGAAAACTGCTGCTACCTTTGCCCCAAGGGCTTCTACTGCATCTAAGAATCCTGCAGTACCTGGAACTGCGCTCTACACAATCTTTGAGGTTCAAGGCTATGCTTCAATGTTAATCGGTGGCGCCCTTTCTTTCAATCTTATATTTCCATCAAATGAACCTGATATATGGAGGCTGATGGGGATGTGGTCCATTTGGATGTTCAGTAAGTTTCATTTACTTTTGTTTAATGTTCACACGTACTAGAGCCTTTTAATCACTTTTGAGGTTTTTTCTATAAAGGGTAATACTTTAGGGGAACTTAATTTGATATAAGCCAGCCGTATTCCAATTGAATGGGATAATTCATAAGTCGTAAAATGATATCAAAATGCAATGCTAAATCATGTTAAACCGAGAGGTAATAAGGCCATAACTAATTTTGTTGTTACCATACCTTCAAAGCCAGGTTTGGGGAGGTGTTTAAATGTGTAGTTTTACCCTGCATTATTCATTGGTTGTTATTCTTGCATTCCAAATTATTAAATGGTTAAGTTGTCTACTTCAATTCCTTTCCAAACCCTGCTTTAGTTTGGAACTTGATGCGGGACATAGTTATCCAACATATGATCACCTACCTTATTTGAACATATTATCATCTATCGAATTAAGATTAATTATATCATAAATGTATAATTAGTAGTTGTCCACCCTAATATCGTCTAGGCCAAGTTCATCCAGTTTCGTTGAACAACATGGGTTGGTTTCAAGGCTAGTCAACCAGGTAAGAAGGACCAATAAATGAAATTCGCTAGAGACTTAATAAACGTATTGTTAAGATCAAATTGTCCGATGCTATTTATTTTATCATACTAGCCCAAAGTTTGGAAAAAGTCTTTTATGTCGCCAAGGCTACTCATCTAGGTCGCTAAGGCTACCCCTCAAAGTTTACAAGCTACACATTAGAGCTCAACAAGCGCTAGTAAAGCCAGTGATAACTTCATATGAAAGTATTTTCTAGAATTCATCATGAGTTCTCTATATAATCAAACAGCTATAAGCTAGCTAATTTGATTTCACAAGAAGCACTTGATAAGTGTTGTTATGAAATTTTATTAGTATTGCTTAAATATAGTTCTTCTTGCGGTGTTGTGCTTCGATTCAAGCCTATAAGCAGAATATTTGAGGATGAGCCTGAGACATTAAATCATTCACATAAACCTTGTATTTTCTGACAATATAGATATATATATATATATATATATTCTCAATCGTATTCTCTCTCTTTTTTTAAAAACTTTGTTAGTGAGGTATTGTGGTCGCTCACACACAAATTTAAGTCCAACAACATGTACTTTATTTAGAGGTTTTTTTTTCATTAATGGTTTGATTTTTATGACGACTAAGCATAATTTATTTTGATTGTGTTCCAAAGATGATGAAATTCTCCTTATAAATAATAAGGTGCTTAATAATTAATACACACAATTGCGAACACAACGCTTTCCCTCCTTCTCAACTCGATTTCCCTCCTTTTCATAGATTCCTCTCTCTCTAACTTTTTCTCTACTTATTGAATTAATTCTGGCCGAGAAAAAATCCTTTGACTTATTTTGTTACGCTTAATTTGCATCAAGTACTATCAATAATGAATTATATTTTTTTTGTGTATGCCGTGTGAGTACTAATTTCTTCTCATTTTTTCTCTTATAAATCTAACCATCCTCTTATTTTTCACACACCTTCCACATTTAATACATGAGTTTTTTATCCCGTCAACATTTTTTTTAGCTTGATAATCATCCTTTTGAATAATAAAAAACCAAAAACACTTAAATTCTTACTTTAGTTATTCATGCATGCGACTCACTCTAACTAAAATCCTTCCTCAATTTTTCTCACCTAAATATTCCCCCCATCATTTATTCCTTACTAATTTTGTTCAAAAAATCCTATCTCAAAATCTAGATTTAAGCATCTTAATTATTCAACTAAACACCCTCTCATACACATTTAGTCCTTGCCCACCCGCCCCCCTGCCCCCCCAACCCCACCTCACTTTATCTTTCTAACTCCCATTATTTTCTCTTAAAATGTTTCCACAAGTTCTTTCTCAAAATATGTATTGACTTACTCAAATACTCTCTCAAAATTCTGTCATTATTCAAACATACCTCCTCTTCTTGACTCAGATTGAAGCCCTTATGTTGCGATTCTAAAATTCATCCCTACCACTTAGTCATTTTATTGGGTCATATTATCAATCATAATCATTCCAATTTTTACTATTATGATAATTGTGATTATCATCATATCCAGGATGGAATAAACAATCATACTTTGACACATACTCATGTTTCCTAGAATGATTTTTTATGGTGAGCATTGTATGATAACTGATAAGAAGTATTAAGTCATATTCTTCATATACCTCCATTGTATTTATTGTGGCCCTCATCGTTGATATTATCATCTATCACGTCATATTTCTCATCAAACACATTATTGTACTAGCCTGACTGCCTGAGTAACCTTGATGAATCTCCATATAAATCTCATCAAATCTAATATATTAATAAATATTTCAACCAATTTAGAACTTCTGATGATTAATTCAATGATAGAATAAAATGAACTAATTATATTGGGGAATTGAAGAAATATGGAAATCATCTTCACTTATTCGTTTATCCTCTCCAGTCTCAAATGCTCTACCAATCTTTTAGCTTACCTGTCTCGCTGTCTCCGCCCACCTTTGTTTAGGATGATGATGACCAGTCCCCTCTTTCTAAGCCCGGTCTTGAGTTTAAAGCTTGTGCCTAGTCTAATTCCCTAGTCTGATCTAGCCGTCAAGCTTGAACAAAAGATCTTAGGGAAATTTACTTATGTAGCCACAATTTTTATGCATTTACATATCTCACGCCTAAATTTCATATTTACACACATAGAACTTTGATGCTTTAAAAATTTATGCATGAAAAGTGTATTACAGTTTTAAAAAAAGGATAGTAGTGCTGTTTTTTTATGTGGTATTAGTGATTTAATTGTTGTGTGTAAATATGAAAGCTTAGGTGTGAGATATGTAAATAGATAAGAATTGTATGCTGCGTGTATAAATGCTCCAAGTTCGTATTAGAGTCTGATGTTGAGGTTAAGTAGGAGAAGCCTCTAATCATTGTTGTTGCTCCTCAACTTCTATATATGGAAGTATAGGTTGTCTTCTACCCCTTGTATCGTTGCTTGCTCTATGATTGCGTTTTTTAAATCTTGCAATTGTCTAAACCATCTCATGATTCTTCATATTAAATGTTATACTTTGTGAAAACATCCAAGTTTGAAAGTACCTAATTTCTCACCGGTTGATGAGGTTGAGTTGTACTCTTTTATTGATATTGTTCCACATTACCTTAAGATGGTTATAGGATGTTCTTTAATATACCATAGTTTTGCCTTCGTCCATAGTGTTAAAAGGTGACTTTGTATTGTTATTATTAGGGATGACACTAGATAGGATATTTGCACAGTTAAGCCCTATTTGAACTCTTATGTGATTTACTAGGAGCAAATTCGACTCACAAGCTTATGGATCAGGTTGACACAAATATTCTTTGGGTCAGGATTGGGTTAGGAATATTACCTAGTTTAATTTTTTGGTTTGGGTTAGAAATCGTAACTAAAATTTGACTCGAAATCAACCTGTTAATTCGAGATTAACCCGAGATTGACATAAAATTGACTCGAATTTGAATTGAATAGAGGTTATGTCTTATGTTAAATGTGTTATGGCATGTTCAGGTCAGTAGGTTGAAGGAGGGTTGGTTCTGGTTGACGTTCTAACCCGTCTAATATTCGGGTTAGGGTCAAACAACTTTGTGTCAGGTCAATTTTGGGCCCACGAACGCAATTTGACACCCCTGCAATTTAACATTAGATGAATGATTCCATAATCAAATTCTATTAAAAACCAAATACCCTAATTTCTTTGTGGTGAGAAACAGAGCTAGTCAGGTACTCAACAACCATTAATGTAACTTAATAATTGAGTTGACATCGGAGTTAACCTAAACCACAATTGGCAAACCAAATATTATTACCAAAAGTAAATAAGTGGTTACAATCAAACACACTTGAAAGAGAAATAATAACAAGCGCGACACAATCTCACACTAGGGCTCGATCTTTAGGTGGTGTTGGTCAACTAGGTGGTTGGGGAGCAGAGATAGATGGCTGAAATGAGGTTGAAATCACGTTGGTAGTGAACCGGAGGGCTAGGACAATGAGGGCAGCAAGTGGGGTGGCAGGTGGATCAATGATGTACGGTGCTGGAACGACTAGGGGACAACAAGAAAATGGCAAGTGTGTTGTTTTCCAAATGACAACAGTGTTACAAATGACTCGACAGTAATCAAAACATTGAGGGGAGGGAGGGAACCATGCACAATGAAGGACTGCTCCAAATAGGAGGGAACCTGCACAATGAAGGACCGCTTGATCCTTCTACTACCTAGACTGAGCTAGTTGGCATGTGGCATAAAGACGCATTCGTTGGAGCTTTGACCTCATTCTCCTATTTCCTCATTGTAGTCATATCAGCCACACTGAATGTTTTAGAAATGACATAATATTATAACAAGTCATTTCTATAGGTGCTGACATTCCACATATGCATCCAATTTTGGCACATCCTGAGTTTAAGTTGCATATTAATATAGATTCCTGCTATGTAACTCTCAAGCTTTTAAGTCTGAAACCTTATTCTTGCACTTCTAGTAATCAGCAGATTGTAGTTTATAAACTAATATGTTAGGAGAAATCAACACTGGATGAAATCTATGGTAGGTTGCACCACTTTCACTAGCAACCACTCAGGAGAGACCTCTTCTTCACTGATATGACTTGGATCCTATTTGAAGAATTTTCGTCCCCATCAAGATCCTAAGACAATTTTCAAAGTTGTGGTTCATCTTTGTTGTCAAGACATCTGATGTTGGGTGCACTTTTGAACCGAATCTAATATTCGATTAACTCCATATAAGCTTCCAAAAGTAACACAATTTTCTCATCTTTGACTAGTTGGACCTCCCTCAGTAGGGGCAACTCAGGAGGTAGACTATATATTTGAGAAGTTTGAAATCTTCTTATCTGAAGTTGCCCTATGTTAAGTATAGCTTCTTAAACTCATGGCTCTTTCGGATATACAATGCTAATCTTGTTGATGCTCCTTCGAACGTCTGCAAAAAATGTAGTTCGATCATTACCTCAGGAGGGAGATACAACTTAAGCATTACTCAATGTTTTGTATACAACTCTCGAAGGGAGAAATGCACGTCCGCGACTTTCCTGAATAAAATTACGTCAAAAACTGATCTAAAACACAACAAATAATATATATAGTCTTAGTGTAAAGAATAGAGGGAACCTTGCGCAAGGAAGGACTGCTCGATCCTTTTACCACCTAGATTGAGATGGTTGGCATGCAGCATCTATCGCGTCTGCGAGGGCGTGACGCCACCGCGTCATGCATAGGCGCCCCGACGCCCCCTGACTTCAAACATCCAGTTACTTTTAAAGTTTTTAAAATTGCACCAATAATATACAATAAAGTGCAAAAAAATAAATAATCTAATGTTAAAATTTTAAGCTTGAGACTTTATTATTCATCCACGTATGTTATATTTTAGGTTCTATGTTATTGATTTTATAGTTAATATGTATACAAATAATTCAAAACAATATATGTTCATTAAAATCACCGCTCTTTATATTTATCATAACTGACAATATTGAAAATACCGATTTTTTTTCCATTATTATTTATTTAGACAATAGAATCCTCTATTGAGATTAGTCAAGCCAGGTACTATATCGATTACATAATTGTCATACATAATTTCCACTTCAACATTTTCCACAACAATAGGGAATGAATGCATAACATAATTGTCCAATCGTTGCCTATCATAATAGGATTTGGTTGTGTATGAAATATGTAATCATGTTTCTTCATTAGAGAGTTTCGTTATTAACGATTTGACTTTTATGAAAAAATCATCATGACTTATTTTGATTCATGGCCTTCATTACTTATTATCATTTCTTAAGATGATGAAATACTTCTTGTTAGTAAGTTTATGTTTGTATATTATAAACATTATTGATGATTAACTCAAGCAATTGCAAGCAAGGTCCCTTCTCTCCCTCCCTCTCCCTCCCTCCCTCCCTCCCTCTCTCTCTCTCTCTCCCTCTAAGAATTCTTTGTCAAAAAATTCATAGAATTATTCTGCTGCAGTTTATAGCCATCATACACAAGTTCATTCAATTCCTTATTGTTTTTTCTTAGCATTCCAATTATTTTGTTTGATTATCTGCAGCTATTCCTTCACTAAGAGCACGAGACTGCTCCAAGAACGAAAAGGAAGCTCTGAATTACTTATTTCTTCTGATACCATTACTCAATGTCCTCATCCCTTTTTTCTGGAAATCCTTCGCGGTTGTTTGGTCAGCAGATACCATTGCCTTCTTTGCATTGTATGCTTGGAAGGTAATCTTATTTTTATTTCTTAGTGAATTTACATATCTACCACATAGTTCTTATATGTTTTACATATCTAACTTCTGCAACTTTCATATTTACATTCATAACAAAACTATGCATGAAAAGGTTTATTTCACTTTTAAAAAGTAAGTGATAATGATATGCTTGATGGAATGTTAAAATTTTGGGTTCTATGAATGTAAATGTAGAACATTAGGTGTTAGATATGTAAATACATGAGAATGTGTGGTATGTATGTAAATGCCCCTTTATTTATTTAATTGCCAACTTCGATGAATAATTTTTATTTCTGCTTATAGATGGGTTGGCTTCAAAGGGCAGAGTGAACTGCTTGCTTACTCCCAATAAACCAATGTAAGCCACATGCTTACTATTACATGTGTTAAGATGAATCAGGTTTCAATTCAGTGTACTTTAATTGAAAGATATATTCCTCAGTTTTGATATTATGTACATTATGGTGCTGTACATATAAACAGTTTTGTTTGGTTTTGGAAAAAAAATATTATATCAGGATTCTGCACGTAGAGTTACGTGCGAAGTCCAATGAAATCACGCCACACACGTGAAGGTGAGAAAAAAAAAATTCGGCCCGGTAACACGGGGGAATATTCCTCCCGTGTTATCAGGTGTTATGTGTGTTATTAAGTGTTATTGATGTGTTATTGTGTTATTATAACACCAGTAATATTCTCAGAACACAATAACACATGAATAACATACAATAACACATGAATAACACAGGAGAAATATTCCCCTGTTTTTCTTGGTTTTGGGACAGTTTCTATATATTTACATATCTAACGTCCATAATTTAATTTTTTTCATATTTATAGCATTTAATCTATGCATGAAAATGTGTATGTAAATACATGAGAATTGAGTGTTATGTATGTAAATGTCATTTAGTTTAATGCACGCACATGTGTATGTGTCCATGCAAGTGCCTGTTTTAAAACATTTTTTGTTAGCTTTGATGTTGAAATGATAAAATATATATGAACTTTGCTGGAATTATGACATATATTTGAAATTGAAATGTATATAGTAATTTATATCCTTTCGTTTGTAAGTTTCAACGGTCTATAAATTTGCTCTATGATTGAAATGCTGCATTGGCATACATAGAAGTTAATTCTTATGTATTTATATATATGATGCCTAAACTTTCATATTTACACCTATCCACTCAATTTTTTTAATATCAAATAAAAAATAACATTATTATTATTTTTTAAATGTGAAATATGTCTTTTTATATGTATATATGCGGTGTATAAATATTAAAGTTTAGGTATAAGAAAAGTAAATAAATAAGAATTATGTGTGAAGTATTTATTATTCATTTTTTACTTTTATTTTAAAAATATATTTATTTAGCATATTTTTTTGTATGTTTTTATTTTTTTTATTTTAAAAAATAAATAGCTTATTTTTAGAAACTCTTAAAATATTTTTTAGGTTATTTTGAGTATTTTTAAAGACAATTAAATATATTATATTTTAATTAAAAATATAAATAAAATAAAAGAAATTGCTACAATATTTTTTTTTTTTTTCAAACATGTCTACGACTCATTTGGCATCACTTTGTTTCTTATTTTTCTTTTTTACACTTTTTCTTATTTTAAGATAATGTATTTAATTGATATAATTTTTATATATTTTGAATTTTAAAATTTAAAAAAAAAATTCAACTCTATTTTAAAAACACTCAAAATACTTAAAATATATTTTGAATGTTTTTCAAAATAATTAGTTTAATCAAATATGTTCTGATTTAAATCAAAATATATAAAAAAAAATTAAAAATAAAAATGATCCCAAGTGATCCCTTAGTATTTTGTTTATAAGAATAAAAAATTCATAAAAATTTAAATAATAAATAAATAAATTACAAGCTATAAAGAAAAAAAAATTGAAATTAAGTGGTAATAAAAATTGAATTGAAGGAATGACCATTTCGCTAGAAATTTTCCCCTTCACATTGGTCCCCTTCACATTGGACCCCGCAAGCTCAACACTGAAAAAAATTTATACATGAGTAAAATAGACCCATATCAAAGTGTGAGATTTTATTGAGGTTGAAATAAAAAATCTTAACTTAATGATTTAGATTATTTAAAGTTGAGCCAATTCAAATGAAAATGGATCAGTTTTGAGTCAACTTAAAAATAGATTAGGTTATCTCAATATTGGTTTAGATTATGAATTGACATAATTACAAGTATTTGTTTATTATTATTAAAAAGGAACGGTCGAAGACTATGATACAAGGCCCGGTCATCCTTCATGCGCTATAATTCAAGTACCACACCTTACACGCGGGGGGGAATCAAACCCTGACCAAATAGAGCTTACAACTGACAAGCAGATGTCCAACCAACTGATCTAAGTACTGTTGTGAAAATTGAAGGCAGTAAAGCGAACATTGGAACCAGAAATTCACAAAACATAAACATAACGAAACACACAAATTTATATGGTTCGGCAAATTTCCTACGTCCATGAAGCTGCAGAGGATTTTATTAGCTTGAGAAATTACACTGTCGATCACGTCGACTTACAAGACATGCAACATAAGTGAGGATGAGTGTGTCAAAGAGGCAGTGATTCGAAATGTGGGTGTTTCATGGAGGCAGTGACATAGAGGGTAGGTGTGTATTGAAGGCAGTGGCCAGGAGGGGTGGGTTTGTCGTGGAAGCAGGACCCGAAGGGGTCGATGTGTTATAGAAGCAGTGACCTGGAGGGTGGGTTTGTCGTGGAGGCAACGAACCAAGTAATATCATACGCCAATATGATGTGGTTTCATAGGAAAGAAGTGAAGTAATTCTCATTTGAGATAATTACACATTCGAGAGACTTTAGTAAATAACAGTGACCTTGTCAATCACCTGGTCTTGAATAACAACGCTATGATTAGACAGAGAGACAAGGTATCTTGATGCCACATTGAAAGGGAGCGGGTCCTCATCTTCTACAGTACTACTTGACTCCACGAGATACTTCTGCCTCTGGAGTTTAGCTGTGAGATTCTCCCACGCCGCCCTTGCTCGAACTTCCTCCTCAATGTTAGAAAGGTGTTATTATTTCTTTGTCATCTTGCCCGCCGGTACATGGGTGACCGTTAGCTTGATAGTGCACTACGGAACCGAGAGGCAGTGATCGATCTGCATTGTCTTACCAAATTTTGTACACTCTGAGAGAGACCTCAGCTTGCGTACTATTTGTTATGATGACTCTATCTGAATACGCTAGGGCTGGAACAAGTGCCAACAAAAAAATTCTATTTCAAATCCTTTATTTTTGCTCACTTCTCTGAGCAAGTGAAATTCTTAGCCCCTCAAAAACATGAAAAATCCATCCTTATCAACCTTGAATGAAAAGAAATGTGTGAATATGTCGATTGACCATGAGATGCACTCTCGACGACAGTACAGGACGAAGGTCATCACGACCTACAAACATTTCAATCTATTTAGGAGTGCTTACAAACATTTTTTCCCTTTCTTTTATTGCGAGGTGCCTTCACCTTCTTGTAATAACAACTGAGGAGAGATACCGATTTTCATTCCAGCTGACCTCATTCCAACCTCTTTTGCGCCTCTAACTAGCAAAGCCTGTTGGCCCTCAGAGCTCACTCCTGTCCCGGGCTCAGGAACTACGACCTCTCGAAGACGGACCTTCAACACTGCCCCCCAATATCTCCAGATATTAAAAAATTGAGTGGATAGGTGTAAATATGAAATTCAAATTGTAATATACTGC